CAATGGAGCTGTCAGATTTTGACAGCTGTCAAAAGTTGGGGGGGGGAATTCACCATAAATTAACGAAAAGTCAGATCAAAGCCAAATTAACTTTTGCATCCGTTTTAGAGGGTGCAGAAGCTAATCCAAGCATTTAAAACCATTTTGACCCTTTTATGACACACTTAAATTTGCAAAAATTGACTTCGCAAAACCATTGAAATGCATTGAGTCAGCTTCAATACATTCCAATGGAGGAAACATTGTATCATTTAACGATGTTTCCTATGGGTTTTTTCGCTTAAGGACGGCAATCTGTGCCTATTGGAACGGATTAACCGGTTTCCAATGCATTCCTATGGAAAATGGTGTTTCATATAACGATGTTTCACATAACGGGCTTTTTTTTTGAACCAATTAAAATCGTTATGCGAGGCACCACTGTATCAAACTGTAGACATGTGGCTAACCACTGGGCTTCGTAACCCCAAGGAGTTATGAAATCAGCATAGTATATTAGATTGCACTATGCAGGAAAGGGAAAACTATAATATCACTCTTGTATCCTCATGCTTCTATTAGTGCCACTTAAGATCACATAAGCAATGGCACTGTCCCTTCAGCAGCCATGATCTTTCCATTCCAAATGCATTACGCCAGTGGTCCCCAACCTTGATCCTCCAAATGTTCTTGGACTACAGCTCCCAGAAGCCTTCACCACCATCTGCTGGCCAGGATTTCTGGGAGTTGAAGTCTAAGAACATCTGGAGGCCCAAGGTTGAGGACCACTGCATTACGCTACGAACAGCTAGTGGTAACAGATAGACAGGTATTTTCTACAGTAACATGTCAAACATGAGTGACAGTTCTCTTCACTGACAATACTAGGTATACAGAGTCCAAGAGCCCTAATTATTGCAAAATAAATTGCTGTCAACTAAAGCAACAGGATAAAGTGCTCTGTAGTTGTTTAGTACAGTAACTCAGAATTTTGGAAGAAAATATTTCACAAGAGGATTTCCATTCTTCATCCCCATTCACAACTGTCCAGTCTCTCTTTATCATGGCTAAGGTAAGCTTGATAATTTTCTGATTTGGAGCGAAAAAGTCCTGCCAGAGCTTCTTATCCACAGTCCTGCATAATGCTTCTAGAAAACTAACACAATAAGAAAAGTAGAAAAACAGTCCTTTACTGAGCTATATGGAGATTCTTCTGCATGCTACTGTGAAAACAGAATGCTGGACGAAGAGAGTCCTTGGTTTAAGCTTTTATATTCTTTAAATCTGAGCTCCAAATATCTCAAAAATGCCATCCTCCAGATGCACTGGTTTACAAATTCTATCATTAGAATAGATATCGTGTTTCCCTGAAAATAAGACAGGGTCTTATATCAATTTTTGCTCCAAAAAACACATTAGGGCTTATTTTCAGTGTGTTTTTTTCCATGTACAACAGTCTATATTTATTCAAATACAGTCATGTCATCTTCTACTTGCTGCACAATGGTGGAGGATGGGTTTTCAATTTACTGGGACTTATTTTGGGGGGTAGACCTATATTATGACCATCCTGAAAAATCATACTAGGGTTTATTTTCAGGTTAGGTCTTATTTTAGGGGAAACAGGGTAGATGCGGCAGATTGTGGTTGAAGGTGACAGGAATTGTAATCCAGAAGGGCAGCAGTTTGTGGACAACTGACTGAAGAGAACATGTCTTTCACAAAGTTTATTATAATCTCATTTTTCTCTCCCCACCCCCATTAATCTTCCCATTTTCAAACAGAGAATGTCAAAGGATTTGAATTGTAGAGTCTATAACAAAAATAAATTCTTACAGTTCAGTTATATTCAGGGCTCATATGCCATTGTAAATTTGACAATTAGGTTTCATACCAACAAAAGTCACCTTCCAGGATAGTGCAACATATTTAAAATTCTGTTTTCAAGACATACTCCAACTTCAGCCGGGAAAAATATGGTACCAAAGCAAATGTACAGTATCTACTGGGAACAGGTATGAGAGTTGCAAGTAAACTACTTCAGGAATGTTTCTGAGAAAACATAATATGATTCAAAGTTTGGGAAGGCTAGGAGAAACAGTTTTTGCTATGGTCTAAAGGTTGAACAAATCAAGGTTTCTGGCAGCTATGCATTTTTCCTTTTAATTAAAAGTAATGGAATTTGTCCTTGAGACTGTTCAACCTCTAAATTGCTTGCCTGAGCATTTTTTGCTATTTCACTTTAAAACTGATACAAAATAAAAGAGAGAGGTGGTATATCTGGTATGTGCTAGACATTTTTTCCTTCTGGGTAGCTCTCATTTCTTTAGATTTAACACTGGAAAGAAATGTCATTGTTAAACATTCAAAATTACTAAAGAATGATGATGACTGGTGGCCATCAAATCAATTCTGACTTATGGGGACCCTCTCCACAGTTCTTAAGGTGTAACGAACTCAGAAGCGGTTCATCATTTCCTTCTTCTGGGGTGTGCCCTGGGACTTTGCACTTGCTAAAAGCTCCACAGGCTGACTCTTCTTTTAGGAGGCATAGTGGGGAATCAAACTCCCAATATCTGGCTCCGCAGCAAGATACCTAACTCATGGAACTATCCAGCCACATGGATACCAATATACTTTATTCCTTGATTTATAGAACAATTACTTTGCCTTTCATATATAACCTGATATACTACGACTACCCACATTATGTTTCACAAAGTTTTCATAAAACATTATTGAAAAGATTGTGTTTTGCCTAAAAACATTAACTCTGGCCAGAATCCAAGATTGTGGCAACA